TTTGTGCATCCCATATCTAATATTTTTACTTTAAAAATATTAGAAAAAATTGTGATTAATCCACATAAATATAAACTAAAATACATTAGAAAAAAAAAAAAATTATAATATCTCATTAAGTAACCCATTAAACGGCAGGCATGTGCTTCCCATATCATAAAATTGAAAGGAATTTAATTACTTTTAGAAATTATAATAGTCATTGGTGGCTTAGAAAGTGGAGCCATATTTGTCAACTTTTTATAATTGCCAACTTTTATACATGTAATCTTATCTCAAGGATAAGTATAATGTCAGTGGCATTGCTTTATTTTCATATCATTACTAATTAAATATATTTTATATTACTTGTTGCTTCATTTCTTTATGCTTAGTATGATGCACATGGAAAATAAAATAAAACAAAAATGATACATAAATTCCCACCTCAATTGCACTTTTCTTGTGCAAATCACCATGGAAGATCAAGAGCTAAGCAATGAAGTTGAGCAAATCTTGGCTAAAGGTGGAGCAAATGGGCCGGGTTAGGCGGGTCAACCCTAACCCGGCCCGCATTAGAAAGGGTTCAACCCAGACCGCCTTATAGGCGGGTCGGGTTGAACCCAACCCGCATGCAACCCCCGGGCTGGCCGGGTTGCTATATGGCAACCCGCCAACCCGACGGGTTGCTATTTTGTTTGCATTAGCCAACCCGCTGGGTTGGCCCAAAAAAAATTAAAAAAAATAAAAAATTAATTATTTTTTTCAAGTTTCCCCCATTTTTTTAATTCTTTTAATTAAACTATTATGATTGAACTCTTACAAATAATTTTACACAATAATATTAAACTATACTTCTAAATCATAAATATTAAAATGTATAAAACTTCGTAATATTTGACATATTGTTATTATTATTTTTTATGGTACGTAAAATAAAAAAAATAAATACTAAAGTCTTATTCTCAAATTTCCATGTCTTGTATAAAATATAATTCATTCTTCTGCTAAAATTTCATCAATTAATGAATAAATCTAATTTTTCTTATATTACAATTTTATTGTATTAAAATTGAATTAATATTTGAAATGTTAACAAAAAAAAAATTAATTTAATTGAATTATTGATATTTGAAAAGTTAACTAAAAACAATTACATTTATTCATTTATAAATTGTTAATTATTTATTTGAAAAGTTAAATAAATAAAACAAAATAAAAAAAATAAAAAAATAGGGCTAACTGGGCCCGACCTGCAGCCTAACCCGGCGGGTTAGGGTTGGCGGATTGGGCTGGGCCAGCCATTTTCCCAAAAATGGCGGGCCTAACCCGGCCTGCCTTTGTTGGCTGGCTGGTTAGGACCAACCCGCCTAATTAAGTAACCCGCTGCGAGTTGGGTCGGGTCGGGCCGGGCCGGACGGGTTACTTTTCCACCTCTAATCTTGGCCCACCTTCCTAAAGCCAAACACTGGAATGGTGCCGAGGTCTGCAAATACCCGGGCTTTTGGAATCAATCCAAGTTCCGTCCTGGCATGATTAGATTTCAAAGGCACTTTCATGCTCAAGACAATGATATAATGTTGATCACTTTTCCAAAATCGGGCACCCTTTGGCTGAAAGCCCTAACTTTCACCATTGTCAATCGTTACCAATACACACAAGAAAATAGCCCCTTGCTGATAAGACACGACGATCTGAGAGGGGCCATAAGCCAATCCCAAATATTTGGGATGAGCTGGAACGTGCAGGACCATTGCAGGAGCATGCATGCATGCATGCAACGTAGACAAGGGATGAACTGGGTCGTGGCAGTTAATTTGCAAGAGGAAATGGTCTTCCATAGTTGCATGTTTAACGCATCGCAGTAACATGCAGAAGGAAGTGGTCTGCCGCAGTTGCAAGTTTAACGCAACGCAGTAACGTGGTTGCGAGTTTTACGTCATCTTAATTCCGTTTGTATTGCTCATTTTACATATGTGAATTTCATTTGTTAGTTGCTAACTTTCCTTTTATTACGGTCTGTGTGTATATGGCTTTGCTTATTTAAGCAGCCAATGTTTTTGTTAATGGACTGTCAAGTATTTGCACTCAAATTGCGGTACGTTTCTCACCTGAAGAGAAAAAAACTTTTCGTAGCATTTTTCACACTCTGCGTTTGGGACCTATCATTGGTATCAGAGCAGGTTTTTTATGGGAACCAACAAGGAGTGGATTGAGCACTTGGAGTCTAGACTCGGTGCATTTCAGGAGGGACTACAGCGAATGGAGATTGGTATGAACAACAAATTCCACCATTTGGAGGAAGCTCTCAATCGACTCTCGAACGTGTTACTCGCTAATCCGGAGTCCTCAAATCATGGTAATCACCATCGAGAAAACCAAGATGGAGGTCGGCAGATTGTCTCTTCCAAATCAGCCAAGCTAGAATTTCCACGCTTCTTTGGAGACGATCCAACGGAGTGGTTCAATTGGGTAGGACAATTCTTCGAATACCAAGGCACGATAGCAAACCAAAAGGTTTCCATGGCTGCTTACCACCTTGAAGGGGAGGCCAACCAATGGTGGCAGTGGCTTCGTAGGACATTACAGGAAGAAGGACACATAATTTCATGGGAAAAATTTGAAGTGGAATTATGGGCTCGCTTCGGACCATCAGGATGTGAAGACTTTGATGAAGCTCTCTCAAGGATCAGGCAATTGGGGACGTTGAGAGACTTTCAACGTGAATTCGAGAAGCTCGGCAACAAGGTGCGTGGATGGACGCAAAGGGCGTTGGTGGAGACATTCATGGGAGGTTTGAAGGCTGAAATTTCTAATGGGATATGAATGTTTAAACCGCAATCACTCAAAGAGGCCATTAATTTAGCACGAATGCGAGATGAGCAGCTTACACGGCAGCAACGGTTCACACGAACTCCACTAACAAGAACTCCTCTACCTCTTCCACAAACCACACGTGTAGCTCCTGCTACAGCTATAAGACCCATTAAACGTTTGTCTTGGGAGGAAATGCAGAGGAAGAGAGCACAAGGTCTCTGTTTTAACTACAATGAATGTTTTATAACAGACCACAGATGTCAAAAGCTACAACTATTACTCTTGGAGGGGCATGCAAGTAACGTGATATATGAGGACATTATTGATCAACAAACACTAGAAGAAGACCATGAGGGAGATGTAGCAGAGGTGCAGGAACCTGAACGTGAACCAGAGATCACATTGCATGCATTAACAGGATGGACAACACCAAAAACTATGTGTGTAACAGCGAAAATGGGTCCCCACGAAGTAATGGTGTTGATTGATATCAGATCGACACACAACTTCATCAGCAACCGTTTAGCAAACATGCTCAGGCTACCAGTCATACCAATGGAGACATTGCCTGTCCGGGTGGCCAACGGAGAAAGATTAATGTGTTAGAGGCGTTACGATAAGGTACGGGTAGAATTGCAAGGCACCGAATTTTACCTCACCCTTTTCTCTTTGCCCTTATCAGGTCTTGATCTTGTCTTGGGCGTTCAATGGCTTGAAATGTTGGGATCCGTGGTTTGTAACTGGAAACAGTTGACCATGGATTTTATTTGGGAAAATCAAGACCATAGGCTGTAAGGAGTGGACATGCAAACCATTCAGGCAGTTTCACCAAAGGAAATATCAAAGGAGTTTCGCCGTGGACATGCGCCATTTGTTGTGTGTTTCCAACCAACCATGGGAACCGTACCACCTGATGCACCAACTCAAGATAAAAAGCAGAATATGCAATGGTTGTTGAAAGAGTATGAGGACGTGTTCCAAGAGCCCTCAAGTTTTCCACCTGTACGTGAAGTGGATCATTGTATTACACTAAAGGAAGGAACCGAGCCAGTTAATGTACGGTCGTACAAGTATGCCTACTTCCAGAAAGCTGAAATAGAGAAATAGGTCCAAGAAATGTTAGATTCAGGACTCATCCATCCTAGCACCAGTCCCTTCTCGTCGTCGGTGCTACTAGTGAAAAAGAAAGATGGCAGTTGGCGATTCTGTACAGACTATCGTGCGCTTAATGCCGCTGCCGTCAAAGATCGTTTTCCTATTCCCACAGTTGACGATATGTTGGAAGAATTATATGGCGTTGCTTCACCAAATTAGATCTGAGGGCTGGCTATCATCAAGTAAGAGTAAATCCTCCCGATGTTATTAAAACTGCTTTCCGTACTCATAACGGCCATTACGAATATCTCGTAATGCCTTTTGGCCTTTGCAACGCACCCTCGACATTTCAAGCTATCATGAACTCAATATTTCGGCCTTATCTTCGAAAGTTCATTTTGGTTTTTTTTGATGATATTTTGGTATATAGTCCCACCTGGAATGAGCACGTCGTGCATGTTAGACAAACGTTGGAGATTTTGCGGCAACACTAATTCTTTGCCAAGGCAAGCAAATGCGTGTTTGGCCAACAAGAACTGGAATACTTGGGGCACATTGTCACACATCAGGGAGTGAATGTTGATAACAGTAAAATTGCAACCATGGTCGCATGGCAACCCCCCACTAATATTTCTAAGTTACGTGGTTTTTTAGGCTTGACAGGATATTACAGGAAGTTTGTTCAAAACTACGGCATCATAGCGCGACCTCTGACCAATCTGCTCAAGAAGGGAAAGTTTGGTTGGGATGAAGAAGCCGACGCAGCCTTTCTAGCTCTCAAACAAGCAATGACAACTACTCCAACATTAGTTATGCCTAATTTCAATGACTCCTTTACCATTGAAACTGATGCATCTGGGGACGGAATTGGCGCAGTTTTGTCACAGCAAGGAAAGCCTATAACGTTTATGAGTTGAGCATTAGGGATTACAAAAAAATCTTGGTCCACTTACGCCAAGGAGATGCTTGCCATTATGGAGGCCATTCGTTTATGGCGTCCTTATCTCCTGGGAAAAAAATTCTTCATTCTCACCGACTAATGTAACTTGAAATATTTCTTAGAGCAGTGTGTGGCCACGCCAGAACAACAAAAGTGGGTAGTCAAGCTAATGGGTTACGATTATGAGATTATTTATCGCCCAGGCCATGAAAATTCAGCAGCAGACACCCTCTCATGCAAGTCTAGTAGTCCAGTTCTTCATCATTTGCATGTACCAGAAGTGACTATATGGGATGAAATTAAGAAGGCTTACGAAGGAGACTCTTATGTCCAATCTCTAGCTCGCATGGCTACGACTCAACGAGAAGGATCGTATGCATGGCGTAATGGATTGCTTTCTTTAAAGGGAGAGTTGTCATGTCTTCTCAGGCAGCATTACAGGCGAAACTACTTCATGAGATGCATGATACAAAAATTGGAGGACACTCTAGGGTCTTGTGGACATTCAAGAAATTAGCCCAACAATTCTTTTGGCCAAAAATGTACCAGGCGGTGTAGGTGTATATACAAAAATGTGAAACTTGCCAGAAGGTGAAGTCTGAAACAATGTCTCTTGCTGAGCTCCTGCAGCCGTTACCCGTTCCATGTCAAGTATGGGATGACATCACCTTAGACTTCATTGAAGGACTGCCGACATCCTATGGCAAGGACACAATCTTAGTAGTTGTCGACCGTTTCAGTAAGTCTGCTCATTTCCTACCCTTAACTCATCCTTTTACTGCTAAAATCATGGCTGAAAGGTTTGTAGAAGGCGTCGTTAAATTGCATGGCTTACCCAAGTCCATCACCAGCGATTGGGACGCCATCTTTATTAGCAAATTTTGGTAGGAGTTCTTTCACATGTTGGGAACCAAGCTACAACTCAGTTCTGCCTATCATCCCCAGACGGATGGGCAAACAGAAGTTGTCAACTGCTGTGTTGAGTAATACCTTCGGAGTATGGTTCATCAATGGCCGCGCAAGTGGAGCAACTACCTTCGATGGGCTGAGCTCTGGTACAATACAACTTATCATGCATCCACGGGAATGACTCCTTTTCAGGCATTATATGGACGTTTACCTCATTCAATTCCGCTTTACCATAATGGGTTTTCTTTAGTACATGAAGTAGACCAAAGTCTAGAGGCTTAGGACGAGCTACTGCGTCAACTCAAACATAATCTGGAGACTTCCATTAATCGCATGAAGCAAATTGCGGATAAAAAATGTCAGGATGTTTCATTCGACATTGGTGATCTGGTGTTTCTTAAGCTACACCCCTACAGACAATAGACTGCCTTCAAACGAGCCCACCAAAAGCTAGCTAGTAGCTTCTACGGCCCGTATCCCGTGATACAAAAAATTGGGGCCATCGCATACAAACTTCAATTGCTGGAAGGAGCCCGCATTCATCTTGTCTTCCACGTATCGCTCTTAAAATCTTGTGTAGGTGAGCTTGCGACGCCTTCAAAGGAGCTGCCGCCCATAACTGATGACGGGGCTATTATACTCGCACCGCAACATATACTGGACACTCGTTGGGTCAAACGGGGAAATAAATTTGAAGAAGGAACTCTGGTCCAGTGGAAGCATCTTCCAGTAGAGGACGCCACCTGGGAGACTACCTAGTCTTTGCTTGAGCGATTTCCTTGAGGAAATGGTCTTCCGTAATTGCATGTTTAACACAACGCAGTAACGTGCAGAAGGAAGTGGTCTGCTGTAGTTGCAAGTTTAACGCAACACAGTAACGTGGTTGCGAGTTTTACGTCATCTTAATTCCATTTGTATTGCTCATTTTACGTATGTGAATTTCATTTGTTAGTTGTTTAACTTTCCTTTTATTACGGTCTGTATGTATGTGGCTTTGCTTATTTAAGCAGCCATTGTTTTCGTTAATGGACTGTCAAGTATTTGCACTCAAATTGTGGTACGTTTCTCACCCGAAGAGAAACAAACTTTTCGTAGCATTTTTCACACTTTGCGTTTGAGACTTATCACTTGCTCACTAAAAGTCCTCATGAGTTGATACGTTTTCTTGATCTAGACATTTATCTGAGAGATCAAACTCCGATTCTCGACGACTTTCCTCAACCAATAATTTTTTCGATGCATACTCCATATGCTTTGCTTCCAAATTCTATTATGAACTCAAATTGTTGTATTGTTTACATGTGTAGAAATCCCTTGGATCAGTTCATCTCTCAATGGAAGTTCTGGGTCAACGGATTTCCGATCGAAGGCAAGGAGCCTCTTTCACTTGATGACGCTTTTGAGATGGTTTGTGAAGGAATCAAAAGCTTTGGCCCCATTTGGGAAAATGTGTTGGGATATTGGAAGGCTAGCAAAGAGCAACCGCACAAAATATTATTCTTGAAATATGAAGACTTAAAAGAGGACATCGATTTTTATGTTAAGAGATTGACAAGTTTTTTAGGATATCCTTTTAGTGAAGATGAAGAGAAACAAGGAGTCAAGAAAGAAATATCAAAGTTTTGTAGCTTTGATAACATAAAGACCTTCGAGGTGAAGAATATTAAGAAGGATATCTTCTATAGGAAAGGTGAAGTCGGAGATTGGAAAAATTGTTTGACAGCTTCAATGGCCAAACGTTTGGAGAAAATAATAGAAGAAAAGTTGAGTGGCTCGGGTTTAAATAGCTCGCTTTCATGTTGTTGTAAATGATTTTTCTTTTATATGATGAAGTGTGAATAAGTTTGATCTAAATAATCTTAATTTGTACGAAACAAGTATTGAGAATAATGAATAAACATGTGATGTTAGTATAACAACTAGAGAGAACAATTGAAAAGAAATCTGAGAAATTGAATCTAATTTTTCATTGGTTAAATCAGAACCTTTTACAATCAAAAGCCCCTTTTATAGTGAGCTTACAAGAGAGTAAAAGAGTAAAGTGACAGTAAGAGAGAGAACTGATGAAGAGAGTGTTAGTTGAAGAGTGTAACTCGATCAGCTTAAGTAAGGAACATTACTGAAACGACATCGTTTCAGTAATGTTAGAAAGAGGTCCACATCTTTTGATAGTTGGACGTTTAGTCCTAAACAAAGACTTATTCTTACATTTCCCCTTAAACTAGACTGAGTGTGCCTTGAGTATGTCACCAGTTGTTTTGCCCATATATTGACATTTCCCCTTAAACTGGACTGTGATTCTGGACTTCTTTTTCTGTGACTAACCCTTTGTTGATTTTACAAGAACAGCAAAATTGCAGTAACTTCAGTAATTTAGCTTCAACATTAGCTACTCAACTCTGCAATTTGAACACAATTCTGCAAAACTGAACACAACACTGCAGCAAAATTGTAGTAACTTTAGTAATTCAGCTTCAACAATAGCCACTCAAATCACACTTTCATTTGCAAAATTATTGTAACTTCAGTAATTCAGCTTCAACATTAGCCACTCAAATCTGCAATCTGAACACAACTCTACTACTCAACAAGCTCAAGTCTGCAAGCCAGCAAATTGAACACATCACTGCTACTCAACACAACTGCTTTTATTCAACAACCCAAATCTGCAGACTGAAATTTCAACACAAAAACAAATCTGCAAACTGAGATTTTAACACAACACTGCTACTGAGATTTCATCCCATTTTCAGTTCTGCATTTTCAAATGCAACTTTTCTACCCTACAAAAAAATTAACCAAAACAACAATTGCTATCCAAAAAAGAACTTTAATCAGACTGAATATGCAACTCAACCAAACAACAACTACTGTATCTATAACTTCAAACTTTCAATCTGACAAAACCTACAAATCAACCAAACACAACTGTTGTATTTGCAACAATAAACTGCAGTATCTGCAACTCAACCAAACAACAACTGCTACATCTGTAACTTCAAACTTTCAATTTGACAAAACCTACAAATCAACCAAACACTAACTGTTGTATTTGCAACAATAAACTGCAGTATCAGCAACTCAACCAAACAACAACTGCTGCATCTTTAACTTCAAACTTTTAATCTAACAAAACCTACAAATCAACCAAACACCAACTGTTGTATTTGTAACAATAAACTACAGTAGTAGCTCAAACAGCTCAACCACTCAATAATTTAGAAAACAGTTGCAGTAGACTACAGTAGGCTAAATTGTAGAATAGTCAACCATTTGCCATAACCAAAATCAAAGAGCAGAATTAAAACTGCAGTAGGCAAAAAAAAAAAACTCACACAAACGACCACATTTATAGTATACACATTTATAGAGCAAAATACAACCTAGAGAAGCAGAGCAGAATACCACCACATTTTCAGTAAACTCACACTTTCATTTGCAACAATCATCAAATACCACCACATTTAGCTTGGACCTCAACTCACTAAAGTGTGTAGCTGACAGTGCCTTAGTAAGAAGATCTGCAATCTGTAACTTTGAAGGAACATACTGAATAGCCATTTTCTTTGCCAAAACTTGTTCCCGAATGTAATGGGCATCAATCTCAATGTGTTTTGTTCTGGCATAAAACACAGGATTAGATGCAAGTGCTTCAGCACTAACATTGTCACACCAAATTACAGGAATAGTATAAAAAGACAGTCCTAATTCAGTGAACATACTCTGTAACCATGCTACTTCTGTGGCAGTTTGAACAAGAGCTCGGTATTCTGCTTCAGTGGCGGAAAGAGCAACCACTTTTTGTTTCCTAGAGCTCCATTGAATCAAGTTCGGTCTTAAGTAAACACAAGAACCATTGGTGGATCTTCGATCTTCTAAATTACCACCCTAATCAGCATCAGCATAGCACTCTACATGTAAAGAACTTGTTGGTTTAAAATGAAGACCAAAATGTAAAGAACGTTTTATGTATCTTAACACTCTTTTGCAAGCTTGCCATTGCAACTCAGTAGGAGCTTGTAAGAATTGACTTAACTTATTCACTGTGAAGCTAATATCTGGTCTGGTAAGAGTTAAATATTGTAATGCCTCAACAGTACTTCGATACAATCCAGGATCCTGAAACAGTTCACTATCTGTGGAGCTAAGCTTGACACCAACAGCCGTTGGAGTGGAACAAACATGTGCGTCCATCATTTTAGTCTTCATCAGCAAGTCAGAAGCATATTTGGATTGCTTTAGGTGAATGCCATTTGAATTCCTGGTTGCTTCCAGCCCTAGAAAGTACTTAAAGGAGCCAAGAGTTTTTAATGCAAAATGGTCATTAAGATCATTCATCAACTGAGCTATAAATGCCTCATCTGAACCAGTAATCTATATGTCGTCAACATAAACAAGAACATATATAAAACCAGAATTTTGCTGAAGAATAAAAAGACTTGAGTCTGAGACTGAATTCTAGAAACCTTTGAGCTGTAAGGCAGCTTTCAACTTGTCAAACCAAGCTCTAGGAGCTTGCCTAAGACCATAGAGAGCCTTGTTCAGCTTACACACAACATCAGGAAATACAGGACTCTCAAAACCAGGTGGTTACTTCATGTAAATAGTTTTCGTTAACACTCTATTAAGGAATGCATTATTTACATCAATCTACTGCACATCCCATCCATTAGTTACTGCTAAAGTCAACAATTTGGATAGTGGCTGGTTTGATTACTAGTCTAAAGGTTTCGAAGTAATCAAGACCAGAGGTCTGTTGAAATCCCTTTGCAACTAGCCTGGCTTATATTTCTGCAGTGTTCCATCAGCATTGAATTTGGTGCGAAAAACCCATTTGTTTCCTACTATGTTCATATCAGAAAAAGATGGCACAAGAGTCTAAGTATTATTGTGAACAAGTGCATCAAATTCAGACTGCATAGCAACCTTCCACTTGGTTCTTTTAAGAGCTGCAGAAACTATTGTAGGTTCAGCTTCAAGCAATTCAATGGACTCTAATTCTTCAGCAACAAAGGCTAAATGATAGTCATCATGAAAATCAGGTGAATAACAAGTCTGAGAAGCTGATTTAGATCTGGTAATCATAGGGTTTATGTTGACAGCTGCAGAGGTAGTAGGACAGGAAACTGCAGTATGTATACCCAGACTTGAACCAACTGAACCAGTAGCAAACTGTGAGGAAGTAAGATCAACTACAAGTGGACATGGTGAGAAAGAGCAATCTATAAATCTTGTAGGAGCAGCAGCTTCTAAGATTGGATTAGGAACAATAATGGTTTCGGAAGAGCAACCAGAATTGTTACAGGGTAAGGAACACTGATCAGGAGAGTTATTTGTAGATATTGGTGTAACACTCGGTGAGGATGGAGTAGTACAATTAATGGAAGCAGGTAGTAAAGGAGAATATACATTTGGATTAAAAGAGGAAGAGTTGAGAGGAGAGGAATTCTTACTTGATCCACTTTATCACTCTTCAACACCTCCAGCACTATCCTCTCCACAACCACAGCAGTTTGCTCTTGCCACTTCACTTACACCTACTGATCCCATATGGTATATGGAGTCGGGGGCCACTATTCATGTTACATCAGGCCTCAATCAATTGAATGTTAGCCGAAACTATTTTGGAAAGGATCAACTTCAAGTAGGCAGTGGTGAGTGTCTCCATATTTCTCATACTGGTTATTCTGCTATTCCAAGTGTTTACACCTTAAAAACATTCTATGTGTGCCTAAGATAACAAAAAACTTACTTAGCATCTCTAAATTCACTAAAGACAACAATGTTATTGTTGAATTTAACTCTAACTGCTATGTTGTTAAGGACAAGTACACAGGAGCAATTTTACTGCAAGGGGATCTTAAAGGTGGTTTGTACCAGCTGAATCCCTCCTCTTCTTAGCCCTCACTTGTTCCTCATTTCTTGTCTGCTACTATACCATCCTCTAATGTAGCTTTTATCAATGCTTCTGCTCTTGCTTCACAAGGTCTTCCATATGAGTCAATAAATTGTAGAAACTCCTCTGTTTTAACTGAGTCTAGCACCTCTTTTGTTTCAGCTGAACCTAGTCACTGTGGTGCTTCTTTTGTGTCAGTTGAGTCTTTCAGTAATCTTACAAAAAGGTCCATATTTTTTGACAGTTGGACGTTTAGTCCTAAACAAAGACTTATTCTTACATTTCCCCTTAAACTAGACCGAGTGTGCCTTGAGTATGTCACCAGTTGTTTTGCTCGTATATTGACAGTTAGTACGTGTCATGTTAAAGAATTAAAAGTTTAAATTAGTAGCTGAGAGTTCAAAATTATATTAATCCAAAAATAAAAATCCTACAAACTCTAACATGTTACATGATATTCTATACAATATTCAATAGAATATTATATTTCAACTACCATAAGATTTCTATAGATTCCTTACACATTAGGATCCCACATCAGGATCTCACCCCCACCAAATGTGGTACTTAAGCCTAGGGGCTCTCTCACCTATCAGACCAGTCTTTTGGGTTGGACTCTCCCTTGAGTTTGAGTTCTAACATTGGTGCTTTCGTTGAGAGTTAGAATGCGGAAAGGGCTACCTATAGGCTAGATTAAGGTGTAATGTGCATCGAATGACCGATAGGTGAGTGAAGCCACCCAGAGAGGAAAAGGGCTACCGTCAGGTCAGTGTCGATAGAGTGAAAGCCGTCATGGATGTCAGCTCTTGAAGGGGGGTGCAATGTTAGGATCCCACATCGGGATCTCATACCCACCAAGTGTGGTACTTAAGTGTAAGGGCTCTCTCACCTATCAGACCGGTCTTTTGGGTTGGGC